ATGCTCAAATTAGAGGCTTTGGTCTATTTGTTTTTTGCGCTTTAAATTCTCTTTAACTCCTTTTTAACTGAAATGTACACGTCTGCTGGTCATTTCTAGTTATAAATGGTGCGCGTGCGCATCGTACCACACCGCTGCATCCAAGTAAACACAACCTTTCACCAATCACTGATATCCCTACCAGTGATCCCGACCAATGCGACAACGCAGGCACTGATCATAAAAACACATTTCTTTTCAGTAAATTGAAAGTGCAACAACATTTAAATTCAAGATATTATAATAAATCAGTACTACATGCGGATATATCCTAATTAGAGGAGACTCGGCGAACTCCGATTTGAGTTCTTCGAGCCTTCTCGTAGCATTGAGGTCGCTGTGCACCCTCCCAAGCCCTTCCTACATATTTGCCCTATTCTCAGAAAAAAGTCTTTTCTGTAAAAAACTGACGGACTAGGGTGTGTACTGGTATGATATAGGTAAATTTGATTTATTGCTGTCAAGAGCGAGTTGGAATAGCCAACAGGAATCCACAGGACACTAGTGAGTTAATACGTATCGAGTATAACCTATATAGCTTCTCGCTTTTGCCAAAGGTTGACGCACAAGACGGTAAAGCCAGGTCAAATCCCGAATTCATTAAGCTCCACTTTTCTTTTAACAGAAAACAAGCTTAAGAATTCACATGTCAGGATATATACAAAAAATATTTTTCTGCATTCGCTTACAGATAACAGCGGTAACGTAACAGGGTCGGGCAAAAGGGAAAACCTCTAGGAAAATTCAAAAAAATTCCCCAAAATCTGCAGAAAAATTGTTATATTAAGGATGGCGGATATGATACGCTACGTTCATCACGCTTCACCTTATCCCATGCTATTAAAATTACAAGAATGCACAGATGCTACTATGAGAGCACAAAAAAAATTATTAAGGTCTTCGTACGCTACAGTAGCTATGTCTTATAGAAATAAGAGATCAATCCTAAATTTGAGAAACGTGTTATGAAATAAAGGGGGAGGGGAGTCATGGCCAAGTCTAAACATTAATAAAAAGAAGTTTTTAATAAACGATGGGTTGACCTCCAATAGGTAATGTTAAAGCTAAGAACAGTTCGACTTCCGAAAGAAATCTTTATTCGAAGGTTTTTGTCGATGAAACAGGGAGATTAAAAAAAGGAGCGGGGGAGGGGGGCGTGGGTCACATAAAGAATCCTGAAATAAATATTAATGGGAATGTTGATGGAAGCAACCTCGAGAGTAGGCTAGCATTAGCAATGTATAAATTTAAATTCGACACTACTGGTGAAATCATAACAAAATACTCCACAAAAGTTGGTAATGCTAGGACTCGTCTTTTATTCGTCATATTGATACAACGTGAAATAAAGGACGGTTCTTCCCAACCAACAACCAACCCTCGAACCTGAAATTTAAAAGAATAGATTATTATTTGAATTCTGACGTGCAGATCCAGGAAAAATGAGGATTGATAATGAAGCGTGAAAATACATGCTTAAAATATTCAATACTACTGTTTTCGTATATTAAAAAAGTAGATGATAAAAAAAAATTTGATATAAATCAATAAATTGAAAAAGATTATAAATATCCGTAGTATTGAGAGAAAAATCATTTACAAACTTCTAGAAATGGAATGATAAATCTGTCTTTAAAACTGCTTCTACCATATAATCTTCACTATAGAGAAATCATAAAACCGGCTCTCCACTTGATGAATTTTCTCGCAGAAGGGATTACTCCTTTAAGTGACTAAATCAAGAAACGTATAATTAGTCTACTCTCTTGATTGGATTCGTTCATGATATTTCTTTGATATCACTTTCCAAAGTTTCTATTATTTTGTTTCATATCCTTACAATTTAGGCGTTGGTGCGAATAGTTAGAATTGTTACATTGTAAAATTCAGATAAATAAAACCATTTTATCTATTCCGATATCACTGCTAGATCATGCATTTCAATTGGGCCAAATCCAACAAAGTACACATGTTGCAATTAAGATAAATCCACGTAACTCTAAACGAATCTATTCGGATGACAGTGCATGATGAAAAGCAGCTTTAAGTTATGCTGGTATATAATAACGAATGGTCTTATATTTATCAAGATTGAATGAAGATAACTGTTTACAGGTCTGCTATGTAGTATAAACAAAAAATCTTGCAATGCCGTAAAAGCAGAGCGGCAGTGGTGGGTAAAAACAGGGTGGGTAAGAACAGGGTGGGTAAGAACAGGGTGGGTAAGAACAGGGTGGGTAAGAACAGGGTGGGTAAGAACAGGGTGGGTAAGAGCAGGGTGGGTAAGAGCAGGGTGGGTAAGAGCAGGGTGGGTAAGAACAGGGTGGGTAAGAACAGGGTGGGTAAGAACTATGTTAATCTACATCTATCCCTCAAATTTAGATAAACTCCATGAAGCCTGCGCCAGGATTGTGCAACCACTGCAACTGAAGAGTCAAGCGATATCCGAAAACAGAGGCAAAAGTCCAATGGCTGCAACGTTATCAGAGGCAAAAGTAAGTGTTTTCTTTGCCTTATGTTGATGTTTATATCTAGGAGGGCAGTTAATAAGCTGGTGATGCTATTACCAGGGACCATAGAGCGCTGTAAGGAGTGGGGGCGGTGTAAATTTTTTGTTAATGAAGCAAAATTAAGTCCTAAACTTCCCCCTCTTCGGCAGTTCAGGCTACTAGAACCATTGAAAGGAAGTTAGAAATTGAAAGGGGGATGTATGTCAAAATCACGCGGAAAGCTCTTGCCTACAAGGACATAGAGGTTTGCGAACCCCGCCATTTAAAAGATTGTAGACCACAATAAATTGAGAATCAAGTACCCGTAATGATAGTATTGCCTCAAGGGTTTTTAAACTGTTGTCAATTTAAAACAAGAAACCTGAAATTAAAAAGCCTATCTAGGGGGTGGAGAAATCGGGAGTTAGGATGACTTAAAGAAGCCGATGTAAACACAAAGAGGTCTGCACTCCTTCTAGTTTAGACAACAGCAATCTCTTCTAGTTGTGAGATCCAGTAAGTGGACAGAAATATGTCCTTGACTCCTAACAGCCTTGGCGGGACTAATCGAAATGCTAGCCCTATTTTTGCTCACCCTACTTTTATAGAGCCTATTTTTGCTCATCCTATATTTGAACCCGAGAGCCATGGAAAAATGGGGCTGTGCTAGTGCCCAGGGCTCTATTCTAATCTAAGAAATCCTCGTATCGTACTGTATATGTATATATCTTGATGCTCTGTTCAACTGTGCTTGAGACGAACGTACTTAGCACTGTTCGTTCACTTGAGAAATAGCATTGACTTGGCGACGAGGACAAATCAAGCACTTTCGGATTCCTTCGTGAAGGATGGCGGGCATTATCTCTAGCCCCTTCATATTCATTCTATTCAAGGCGAGGTTTCATAAAATCTCAATTAAAAAACAACCACTATGAATAATTTTTGAACATAAACACGATGAACATAAAAATTCCCTCCATCATGGGTTCCGGCGAAAGATAGAAAAAGAGGGCGGGTTTCCAAGGGAAATTGGCTCATAAAAATATTTTGCACAAAAATTCTTTTGTTTTGTAAAAAAGTAAGAAGCAATGGCCACTCTGTTCCTCGACCGATGATGCAGGTTTAGTGGTTAGGGTCGCGGACTACAGGTACAAAGGATAGTATAGCTTCTCTGTATCCCAAAACCTACTTTAGGAAGCTGGGAAGAAACAAATATAAATTTCAGATGACGAACATCGCTAAAGTGATGACTAAAGCTTGAAATACACGATCAGTTTCTATCACGTCCAACTTTTTCAGTTTTACGACTTTGGTGTAGACTCTATTGTTTAAAGCTGGCGCCACTCTTATACTCTATTGTTTAGAGCAGCGTTAATTTGAAAATGTGGAAAAGTTACAAATTCAGATGAATTTATATATGCGTGGAAGTAAGAAAAATCATTATGAAATGTAACGTCAGACTCAAAAGTGGTTTCGAAATGCGAATAGGTTGAAAACGATCTCTTTTTTCTTTTTTCGGTATTTTCGCCTTTTCTTTACAACCAAAGATGCAGCAAAAAGAACTGATGTTCGCTCACGATCAAGCTGGCCAATGTATGGACGACATCAGTTTTTGAAAAACTGAAAACTGTCAGTCAAAAAACTAATAAAAAGTGATAGTGTATTTCAGGCTTAAGAATGGCACGATACCTTCATCTGTTTACTTCTTGGCAACACTGTAAATCACCAAGCCGATAACTGCCAGAATCGTTAAGCAGACAAGAGCCAGAATTATCCTGTTTTGGATTATCCTGAAAAAAACGATTAAGGTTTCATTGATAGGGCTTATAAACAGAATAGTGCGGATATAGGCATTTCATAAAAGAAACTCGTTTTTAGCTCAGCACTGGAACCTATTTACAGTAAAATATATTAGAAACATAGTTTTATCTATGACCATGACAACAAACCAAAACTCAGATTTTGAGATAGTTGGAGGGTCATGGTAGCCAACCTTCTGATAGAAGATGGTACCTGATGATGATATTA